TAAAAGGTACTTTTGGAGCTGCAGGTTTTTGCTGCCTGCGTGCATCCAGGTACTCGTCTGCCTTCCTGGCTGCTTCGGTAAGGGAGGTAGGGTTTCTGTCCCTTACCCACTCCTGTACCTCGCTGGTTACTCCTTCATAAAATTGTTCCAGCAGTACCATTTGCAATACATCCTCCATAGACCGTGCCTTGCTCGCTTGCACCCACCCCAAAACTGCTTGTTGTAGTCTGCATGCCCACTCAGCATGTGAGTCTTTCTCCACCTTCTTTAAATCCCTGAATCTCCGCCGGTATGCTTCTGGTGTTATAGCATACCTGGCCAATATAATTTCTTTCACTTTGTGGTAATTCCGTATTTCATCATTAGGTACAGTCCGGTATGCCTCAGCTGCCCTCCCAGTTAATCTCCCTGCCAAAATAGGTACCCAGTCCTCTGCGCTGATTCTATGCAGTGCACACAGTCTCTCGAAATCTTGCAGGAAAGCGTCTATATCTTCCTCTGCCTCCACATATGTTTTAAAAGCCTGGTATGGTATTTTCGGCTTACCTTATTGTGGCATATTTACTGCAGAGCTGCGTTCTGGGGCCGCTGTTTGACTCCTCAGTATGAATTCCTGGACCTCCGTTATCGTTTTGGAAACAATCTCTGTTGGAGGGTGTTCCCCATAGAAAGACAGCCGAAATTGTACCTGCCTCTGGAACTCCCTTTGTTCCGGTGTTTCTCCCGAATTCCCCTGTTCGGGAACCGAATCGCCGTCCATTCGGTACTCCGCCATCAGTTCAGTGATAAGTGCCGCTTTTGTCTTATTGCTGGCTTGTATACCCTTTGCCTCCAGAAGATCTTTTAGCGTGGAGCGTTTTAGTGTGGCAAAATCAATCTCCATCCGTACTCCATTTAGGCTTGTTCCTCTGTGAGTCTGGATCCCAGCGCTGCCAACCAATGTAGCGGAGATGCAATATTACCCCGGTTACCTCGCTTATAATCCAAGTGGGACTCAGGAACAAGTAGATAGTAAATCCACAGGCAAGGCTTCCAGCAGGTAAAATCCAGCAATATCCCAACAGCAATCCCAATAACTGGACGACACACAGTTTCAGGAGCATAACTGACTAGCCTTTAATCACAGTCTCCTTATAAAGCATGCTCCCATGCAAGGGAGGGATTTACAGTAATTATTACAGTAGCCAATACTGTCCTGGTAACCTCCCACACATCTCCTCCCCTCAGCCAGCATCATAATCCCCTTATCCAGCACACCAATTCCCCCCATTTCTGGATGTACCCCTAAACGTAGGGGTACCTCTTTAAATCATACATCCCCTGGTAGCCCTGATCTGGGTGAACAGCATATCCAAAAATCACCCAGATCAGACCAGGGGTTCGGAAAAAGTATGGAGGGAATAAAATGACCGACCGCACGAACTGAGATAGCCGAATTCGGTTCCATGTGAATGGGCCCTGCGGTCGGTCCTGGCATAAGGGAATAAAATACACAAAAGCCTCTAGCTATAGAGGCTAGGGAGGGTTCGCCTGAATCCCCTCGTTCGGTATTCTCTATCTACCGAACGAGGGGCCGTTCGGTAGTTTGGAACCGAACGGACCAGGGCTGTGGAGGTCTCAGCGGTGTTCGCCTACTCGAGTGTCCGATTTTTAGTTCCAGACACTCGACGGCAAAACACCGCTGTTCGGGAGTTTTAAAATGGCCGCCGCCACGTGTTCGTTTGTCGAATGGCGGCCACCCCCGAGAACAAAGGACGGCTACTTACTGTTCAATTACCCGTTCGCAACAATGTTGCAACGGGTAATTGAGGACACACTTCACACAGGGGAGGTCTGGGTGTTCGGTAGTTTCATTCGAATAAACTAAGGGAATGAAACTACCGAACAATCAGAGGAATACAATTCTTTTTAATACATAGAAAATACAGCAGATACACGAATGCAGGTTTATACAGTATATTTGTAGGGTCGCCTGGTGCCATCCGCTACACTTTGGTTCGAAGAAAGTCCTCTATTGGACAGCTCTCACCCCTTTCGGTTGAAATGTCTTCTTTATGTACAGTCCGATATGCCTGACATTTCCAGGGAATGCCTGAGCCTTGTCTGCATGGAAGCTGCTGAGAGGGATATCTGGGCTGCGCGCTCGGCACCTCAACCGTGCCTTTGAAGGCCCTGGCAGCATAGTTCATATTTCAAAATTGCATTCACTTAACCGTGATTCATAAAGAGGTTTCAATTGTCCCTATATTTTCAGATGACCTCTCATTCCTCTTGTGCAAATTACATATGTATCTGTAGCACTGTGATACTACTGTTTCACATAGACTGTAGGAGGTATTGTCTAGGTTCCACTAGTAACTGATAACTTTTAATGTTTTAGGGTGGAAGTTATCTTTGTGGTGTCAAAGGAACAACTCCCCCCCTAGGACAATCAGCACACTGGCAATTGAGGGTATTGCTGCTTAAGCTCAGGTAAGTTTGGTACGGTAAAACAAATAAACAAACTACTGCTTAAAATGCAATTGTCTGTAGATAATGTTAGATTTATTCTTCTAATACATAATATAGAACAAAGTAAAATTAATTGAGTTATTGGAACAAGTAAAATGACTAGTGGAAGATCCCTAGACCTGATCTATGTCCCACCAGAAATTCTATGCAGCATGTATGAGCTTAATTTATGTGAGCATTAATTTATGTGACTTATAATAAATTGTTATTTTTTGTGTGTGATTCTTTACTCTTTCTTTTTTGCATGTTTGGACAAAGTGGAAAGCTATGCAGAGGATAATGATGACCGTGCACCACCCATTTCACTGAAGATCAGGGCGTCATACATCATTTGACATACAGCATGTTTCAGCAGATAGTTGCTTAAAACATGTGAGTCAATACAGGCATATATTATTTATTCAGATTCATTGAATAATCAGTTTGATATCAGGAGGATCATTACATTTTAAATTGTTTAAATATTGTTATGCATTTTGATGAATTTTTTTAACACTTTTGGGGTATTCATTGTAGCTTAGTAATGTTTCTTTTAATTAAAACTGTACAATAAAAACTGCAATCTTCTGCAAAGGCATGGAAAAACATATTATTTATATTTATACTATTCCCGTTGCTTTCCTGTGATTATTTGTGAATTGACCGATTGCATGAATTGTTGCACTTTCTGTTTACAAGCAAGCACCTCGCTTTGGGTCATTCTGATCATCTGTCGCCCCATTTATGTTGATACCTACCAAGCAGCTTCATTACCTATGGTCATTTTGTTTTTACATTCCGTAGCTTCATGTTTCACCTAGAAAAACATTTCAGAATGGTTCTACTTGAATGAAGAAATGACGAAGTGTCACAAAAAAATAAACATAATAGAATGACTGACACACTCCAACTTCACTTGTAAATTAATTGGATTTTGTTGTCATGATCCCTTCCAACATTTCAGCTTACTGAAAAGCTTTCATCACAGGCTACAACACAGGCAACATAGATCAAACACTGTGCAATAGAAAAACAGGGAACATAGAGCAAACACAGTCAAGGCTATTCACAAAAGAGAGAATAGTCAAGAATTAAAAATGAATTCAAAGTGAATTTGAAATCTAATGCCAAAATAGCTAGGCTGGGAAAATTCTCCCAACACTTCTTCCAGAATTTCACATTAGTTCTTACTGAGATCCAGTTAGATCCCCCTTTTTTTTTTTTTCAAGTAAGCTGATGGAATATCAGAGAACAGCAGGAAATGCTAGCAGAATGCTTGGTTGTATAGGGAGAGGTATTAGTAGTAGAAAGAGGGAAGTGCTCATGCCATTGTACAGAACACTGGTGAGACCTCACTTGGAGTAGTGTACGCAGTACTGGAGACCGTATCTTCAGAAGGATATTGATACCTTAGAGAGGGTTCAGAGTAGGGCTACTAAACTGGTTCATGGATTGCGGGATAAAACTTACCAGGAAAGGTTAAAGGATTTTAACATGTATAGCTTGGAGGAAAGACGAGACAGGGGGTACATGATAGAAAGTAACATTTAAATACATAAAGGGAATCAACACAGTAAAGGAGGAGACTATATTTAAAAGAAGAAAAGCTACTACAACAAGAGGACATAGCCTTAAATTAGAGGGACAAAGGTTTAAAAATAATATCAGGAAGTATTACTTTACTGAGAGGGTAGTGGATGTTTGGAATAGCCTTCCAGCTGAAGTGGTAGAGGTTAACACAGTGAGGGAGTTAAAGCATGTGTGGTATAGGCATAAGGCTATCCTAGCTATAAGACAAGGCCAGGGACTAATTAAAAGTATTTTGAAAATTGTGCAGACTAGATGGGTCAAATGGTTCTTATCTGCCGTCACATTCTATGTTTCTGTCATATTCATGATATTGTGCATGAAAAAACTTAATTGTGTGCATTTCAGAATGGCATATACATCCAAACCTATGCCATAGCAACCTATTAGTGTCAAATAAAATCCATTAAAATTCACAATTATATTTAAACACTGTAAAGTGTAATAATCCTTCTGATATCTAAGCGATTATTCACTGAATCTGAATCATACCAACTAGTCACAATTATGACAATACACTTATTTGAATTGAATGGATCAATTATTTTCTTTTATCATATAGCCAATATTGTTGTAATATTACAACAGTGCACTGATTTAGTCACTGATATATTTATTTAATCTGTGGGGAACACGAGGTTAAACAAATACTTGTCCCATAGTCTGTCATGAATTAATTAAAGTGTGTGTATAACTGGAATTGTTTCCAATAAATCGACGCAATGCATTCTATAGCATACTACATATTTGAGAGACTACACACCATAAGGATATACAGGATGTTTTTTTTTTTTTACTGATTTAAGACTCACAGATATAAGGGATAAATGTTGTGAAAATGGAGGTTCCAGGCACTAACATTTGTTAACCCTTGGTCATATAGAGATAATATATAAATATATGAGTATTTACATTGGGTGTGTGTAAATCTTGATAATGCTCAGATCACTATTACTGTAATATGATTACAGAGGGGAAGTTCAATGTCATTATGAGTCAAACTACCACGGGAGTGGCGAGCTATCACTAGTTAGAGACATTTACCAAGATACTGAGCTGTGTCTAAATGTATTGTGAAGTAATAACTACTACAGAAATAACACATTAGACTTTGTCATCAGAAAATGGTCAAGTGTCCAGTTTTAGTTCTATGGAACGAATGGTTGTAGGACAGATGTATAACATTAATCAAAGTAGTTAAATAGGTCAAATGTGTAAATGTTCACGTGCACAGCTACCCTGAATGCCTGGTTCCACACCCCAAGATAAAAGACCCAGGATCTGCATACAAATATGGTCTCTGTGTTTGATGAAACCTGTGGCCATTCCCTGTACGGTGTTGGAGCTAGATGAGGAAGGAGTTAAGTTGTAAAATCTACAGAAAAATCTTTTATATATGTTTTAAAGATATACATAAAACACTAACCTCAGATGTCGTGTCTGGATTAGGCATCAACTTATTTTACTGCTTGTAAATGTTTAGGTGAAGTCAAAGCTCTCTGTGCAGTTATATATTAGCTTATTTGACGTTTGTTGCATGATTTATATTAGGCCTCTTTCTCTCTTCCATGAAGCCTTGGACATCATCACATAGCCCTTACTTGGGCTCTTATGTGAATCCTACACCAAACACACAGTATTAGTTGCTGTGCATGGTCCTCATCTCTGTAATGATGCTCCTGCCCCATTCAAGAGCAAATTGACACTGCTCATGTACGAGACTTGAGAGAATATATACATATTTATATGAAAACATATGTGAAATTAGTCTCTTGTAATGCCTTTTTTATTGGAATAACAGAATTTTGGAAAGAAAAGCTTTCACAAGGACCTCCATTTCTCATGTCTAAAGCACTCCTAGCAAAAACAACACATAGAATTCAAAGTTGAGTTGTGATACAGGGGTTAAAGCGACATGAGTGGTTGTACGACACAGATCTTAATACAGGACTATAATACCATTTTACTACTCCTTTTTTCTCCTTATCAGTAACTTGTTCTGACTTGATTTGTGAACCATATGTACGTATCAGTACACTGCAAAATCTATGCATAATAATTATATTAATAATTATATTATATTATATTATAATTATTAATAATTATATTAATAATTATATTATGTAATTATATCATGTATAGATTTTGCAGTACTCTGATTGGTGCCATTTTGTTTTATCCCCCAAAAATGTTTTTCCCCAAAACAACTGTATGAGTGAAATTCATGTGAACCAAAACTTCACACAAATGAATTCTAAATCGACTGACACAACACTTTTTTTCAGTCACAATTTCTATATGTATATATATGTATATATATATATATATATATGTATCATACAACATCCAGCACGCTCACTCATTTACTAAACAGCAATTGCAAAGCTCACAGTAGGTAATAGTTGGGGTTTTTGTTTGTTTAAAACATCTAACCAAGGCAAAAAGGCAAACATAATACGGGTTAGTTACTGCACACATATAAGAAATTGTTATAATTACAGCTTGTAAATTGCTGACTAAAAACATACACACAAGCTTTGCTTTCAAATATTTGTATCTATTTTTTATTAAACCTTGAAATATTGAATATTATTACTATTATGTATTGTAGATGTCATGATCTTTTACATGTAATGTAAATATTTTAACCCATGTAAACATATTATAGGTCCTGGGTTGTATTTTTCATTAATGAGGTGAGAGGTTTAGTTAAAACAAACCATTTAGTGTATACACTATGAGCATGTTAGCAAGTACTTTAACAATAACATATATTCTGTTAATGGTGATGTTTGCTTCTAGTGTTTTGTAGAATATTCCTCCTGCTGTATTACTTTTCCTTCGATTCCACAGACAGTTCACAACCACATCACATCACTTTTTTTGTTTTAAAATATTAACGTATGTTTAGCATATAGACATGTAATAAAACATTGATTTTGTGTATAAATAGCTTTTAAGACAAATTAAAAAATAGAATTGTGTAACTGTATAATTTTTTTTTATCAATGATGAAAAGCTTTAAAAGACAGTACACATTGTCCTCTATCTTGCAATATTTCAGATAGGCTCTTAAATGATGATATAAAAGCAAAAATATGATTTTTTTCTCACAGTAGGAGTGACAAAGTAGATAATACAAATAGTCAAATAGCCTGCTTATACATATTTGTAAGGACTATAAAGGCATAACCAGCAGTACAGCCTGCATTTAAGCATACTGTCCACCTACAGTAATAAAGTTAAATTAGATATTTCTAAAAGAAAGGTACTTAAAGGGTGCTATAGCAATCTTTTTCAGTTTCTACAATGCTAGTATAATGCTAACAGTATACTGGGAGAGTCCATTTCCTACCAATCCCTGACTGTAGGAATGCAATACCCACTGAAACTTACTTTCCCATTGAATGGGGAAGCAGAAATGTTCAGTACACTTGCAGACATTAAGTGTCCAGTTGCTCAAACCAGAGGAATCAATTCCTTTACAGACTAGTAATTGTTACTGGAGTATAAAAGATGGCGATGGAGGCATTATGAACTAAGTTCTATTTTGCAAAGTAAATGAAAATTAAAATATTTATACATAACTCTGAGATTAAATCGGCTAGGGGTGCTGCATTTTTGAAAAAAGTATATATTTTTTTAACCTAATCTTCTTTATAGCCTTGTGGCCATCTGCCTACCAGCAATTTTTGCATGATCTCAATAGGACGAAGTCGAAGACACCGAGATCTTTCTCAGATTTCACAATATTCATTAAATCGTCATTTTTTTGGCCATTGTTGAAAATTACTTTTCAGGACACTTAAGAGGCTAAGTCTAGGGCATGCTAAATATATATATATATATTCTAAAGGGAATTATTACAATGTGAATTCTGGGACTACTGCCATTAATAACCTTCCTCTGTTTTTAGTAAAGTGCCAAAGCAAACACAATATTTAAAGAGTTTGTCAAACACAGGAGCTCCTTCAGGCACCTCTTTGCATTGATCATGGCTTTAGCAGTTCAGTTGTTTGTTCACCGAATACAGGGACATGTTAAGCTGCAATTTAAAACAATAAATGCCATACAATTACCACCTTAGTACATTTCTTAACCCCTTAGTGACCAGATCGTTTTTCAATTCTCTTACCGTTAAGGACCAGGGCTGTTTTTACATTTCTGCGGTGTTTGTGTTTAGCTGTAATTTTCCTCTCACTCATTTACTGTACCCACACATATTATATACCGATTTTCTCGCCATTAAATTATCTTTCTAAAGATACCATTATTTTCATCATATCGTATAATTTACTATAAAAAATATTTTATGAAATAATGTAAAAAAAACAAAAAAATTCTAACTTTGACCCCCAAAATCTGTTTTGCATCTACAACTGCCAAAAAAACACCCATGCTAAATAGTTTCTAAATTTTGTCCTGAGTTTAGAAACACCCAATGTTAACATGTTCTTAGCTTTTTGGAACGTTATAAGTACAAGTAGCACTATTTACAAACCATTTTTTTTTTCAAAATTAAAGCAAGTTACATTGTAACACTGATATCTGTCAGAAAATCCCTGACTAATCCTTCACGAGTATATATTTTTTAAAAGAAGACATCCTACGGTAGGAAAACTTTAAGGGTCACTGCCAAAGAACACCCCAATATGTGTTCAGCAACATCTCCTGAGTACAGTGAAACCACCCATGCATAGGTGTGTCAGATTCTCTGGGGGCTAAAAGACATTATTTGGAGGGTGCACATTCCATTTTTCCAACTTGGAATTTTCACAGCTGGTAATCATGCACCCATGTCCTATTTGGGACATTTTTTAAGCCAGCCAATGTAATTTACCCCCTCAAACCATATATTTTTTTAAAAGAAGACACCCTAGGGTATTTCAGATGGTGGTATTTTAACACTTTCCGTGCACTAATTCTACCACCAGTCTTTGTCAAACTTTCGGGTAGTCATTTTTGTGTTATTTTTCTCTCACATTGTACTTTAGGCATGGATTCTCAGTTCCTGTTATGTGTTACTGAAAACACCCCAATATGTGTTCAGCAACATCTCCTAAACCCAGACAGTCCCCCTCAGAAGAAGACTGATCGTGGCGTGGGAACGGCAGCAATCGGTAAGTACATAAGAGGGACAGGGAGGGTAGGGGTTAATTTAAAAAAAATTAAATAAAACAAAAAATAATAATTTTTAACTGAGTGCCTTGACCCCTCCAGGCACTCAGTACAGGGAGAGCATCAGAAGGCTTCCGATGTTCTTTTCTACACTGGCGGACGCCAAGTGCGGCAATCCAGAGGTGATCGAGGCATCGTGTATCGAGGCATAGTGTAATACCCTTAGAGCATCTGGAAGTGATCACGATCGCTTCCAGTGCTCAAATTTACGTCCGCGGTCCTTAAGGACCTTTTTTTTGTCGGACTTACCTCATACATTCGCACTCCTTAAGGGGTTAATGAACCAATAAAATCAAAACATTTTCTTAAAACTTAAGGAAGTGATTCACTGGGGCAGGAAGAAAATGTAATCAAAACAATAGTAAGACACAATAGACCAGTCTTTATGAATGCTGTATAAACAGTGAGTGGCAAAAATAGTAGCAGAATTACCAACAAATGTAAGTGCTCTCACAGATACAGCTGGATCTAAAATGGCAAAAAAATGGGAAATAATAGAAGATAGCAAAGCTCAATTTATTAAAGGTATGTTACAATATAAACACACTTTTAAAGAAGAAAAAAAATATTTGCCCACAAATATTTTTTCTAAAACCCATTTGATTGGACCATTTCTTCATGTGCAACTAAGATCTCCTTTAAAGGAAAAATGTCACATCCTGAAATTTACACTATTGAATAAAACATTAAACATTATCTATAAATTGTTTCATTGTTTCTTCTAAAATGTATATTATATAAGATTATAAAGATGAGAAATGGAAATATTGTTTAACTTGTGCTCTTTTCTGACTGGGAGCTAAGATGGAGGCACCCAGTTGCAGGATAAAAAGGTGCGGAGTTCTACATTTAATTTTATTTTTCACACCTCACAAAATACATATGTGTTAGATATAGTGAAAATTTACATAATCTAATGAAAATCCTGGTAAGTGAACGTTGCAGAGCTATTTTCATTTTGCATTACCAACAAAGTCATCTCAGGTCACTGAAATTATTATTTAGCTTCTGAAAAGTGAAGGTCTAAACATGTAGGCCAAAGGGTTATTTAATCCATTCATCTATTTTATCAGTTACTTCGATGTTCCGTCCCTTGATGTCTAATCTGAATGGTTTATGTGAGCTAAAATAGCTGATTTGGAAAAATTCTTCAACTCATTGACAGTCAAACCTTGGCTGATTTAGCCTCAATTTTGCAAACTGGGTTTCAATTCGGTGCTATTCATTACTTGTTTTTGTTTTGTTTTTTACTTGTTTTTACTTGTTTTAATTTCCTAATATTTCAACATTGGTTTGAATAGATAATATAATTTATTAAAGGCAAATATATATATATATATATTTGTAAACTTCCCTATAACATAAAGATTGTTGTTAAAGACCAAAAATGTCTGAAATAGTAGTAAATATAAATCATTTTCCATACGTTTCCTAACTTCCAAACACTAAAATGAGCCAAATATACTATGTCTATGGTTCATGTTACGTTTCCCTATTTTAAATCATTCTTTTGCATTCCTTGGAGAGGAAGGTTGAAACCAGAGCACTGTTTCAATTTACTTTAAAGTAAGGTTGCCAAATGCCTAAAACCTCATCACTACCTGTTTGTTGACCTGACTAAAAAAGATTTAAAAAGCTGAAAGGTGAATGTGCTCCATCAAGGTTCAAGCAAAATACAGAGACACAAAAAACAATGTAATTTTAAATTGAATTTATAATCCATTAACAATAAACAATGGCACACATTTTTTTTTCTATTTCAAATAATATAATAATGTTTTTGCTACATAAAAGTAACTACAATGTCAGTTCAGGGGTGTTTCTAGGGAGGTTGCCAAAAAAAACAATAGAATGCCTATCAACATTTAGCACTTTGCAGCCAAAATAGAACCATCATAATGTGATTTCTAAAACAATGTAGGGGTTAAAGTTGGAAACAGGTGCGGTAAAGGGAGGTTCTGAGAAGGATGTACGTTAATATATGTGAGAGGCGCCATAGAATTTTCCCTTTGACCCAAGTCCCATAATGCCTTTCTTTTATTTTTACTGTGTAGTGCTCAATTTACAGCTGTAGTTTGATTAGCTATATTGAACATTTTATATCTTCAAAAACCACCCTCTTCCTATCACTGATGACGGCAATTAACCCTTCTCACACTAGCTAATCCAGCTTCATTGCTCCACTGTGCTTTAATGAGGTCAAAACTATACTGACGTGGAGAGAGGATGAATGGAAATCATATGTGTCAAAGATAAAGTGAAACAATCAAATCAATTTAGTAGAAACGTTCAATAAAGAACTAAGTTTGAATAAATAAATAAATACATTAAACTCTACTTTTATATAATGCATATTATGGAATACATAGAATTGGATTACTTCTCATAGTAAGTAATACAGTGATCTTTGTGCTGAATTGTTTTAGTTTGGAATGGATTCCGATCAAAAGAATACACTGTTCTGCCTAATGTGAGACAATTGTTGCAGACTATGGTAGCGCTAGGATGAATTCAAAAATGCATGTTATGCAGTCACTGGTGAGCATAGGAACCCTACAGAGAAATCATATTGGTGCTTTGTCAGTGCCAAAAACAACCGTGTACATATATAATATTATTTCACAAATACAATAGTGAACTATTGTATCATGAACTTTAGAATGTTTGCCTGTTTTTAGGCTACAGAATACTGCTGGCATGTCTGATAAGCTGGTAAGAGATGTGGCTAATGTTGATATTTCCAATAGGGATACTAGGCGTATCCTCATGGGGTTTACAGGTGTGGGTAGGGATTAGTGTTAAGGTTTGGGATAACATGCAGTGTATGGGAAGACTTGATTAATATAGCTTTTCATTGATTGCTAAGACTATCCTTTCTTGGTCATCAACATTTTTTCTGTGTTTGGTAAAGGCGTTTGGTCCTCTTCTGATACCTGCATTTACTAAAATCTAAAACGATCTCTTCTTCCACTGTTTACTAATATTGATTACCCATTGATTGGCACTTCAGTGTGTCCAGCCAAATCCTGGTCAGTAACTAAAAAATACAAAAAAGAGACAGATGAACTAATGTTACCCATATCTCTGATGTGAACTAAATGTCCATGTCCTTAAATGTGCTGTTTAACAGGAAATTGTTAGTTTTAAGTGTTACTGTACTTCTTAAAAACAAAAAAACAAAAAAAAACCTGCATCTTATTAGTAATCATTGTATCATTAATCTTGAAGGCTTTACTGTCATTCTACTGCAATTGATTTATGTGGGATTATGGATTATAGTACTTTAGACACAGGTGTGGAGGGTGCCACATATTTAACCCTGTCAATATGGATTAGCCATCCCTGTCATCTTACAAAACAAATGTATTATTTTGGTGATAATGCAGGCAGAAACAATAGTGAACAATTCCAAATCAATCAAAGGAATTGAAATGAATGAATAATGACACAATTAATGATGATAACACAGAACAAAAAATGCTTCTACGTAATCAGAGTACACACACTCAGCTCTACAGAATGCATGAAAAAAAAAATACAGGTCACCAAAGTAAAGGAATTGTGATCCCATTAAACCTTTCATAAAGCATCATACAATTAAATAGAATGCATCATACAAATAAATAAAGAGAGAAGGCTAATATTGAGCACTGTGACGGAACGCTGGCACTCCAACTGGGTACCTCCGCCAATCGATGCTCCTAGTGCTCGCTGAGGACTCCAAGCACTCCAACCGACACCATCAGCACTGCAGACCCCACTTCCAACAATACAGCTGCGCTGGGGTCTCGCCGTCTTCACCCACCCTGGACCTAAGGCCAGGATCCAGCTTCTAGTGGGTGAACCTCTCTTTCCCCAGAGAGCGTAGCAGGTACAGAACAGCTTTTACAAGAGCTCAGTGATTATAGCAAGAGAGTATGATGAGCATAGCAATCCCTTGTAGCAGATTCCCCCAATAAGAGACAGGACTCAGATTGAGGGTGAAGAAGAACTGACGTTTTAATCAAACACTCTGCTTTTATGCCTATTTTACAAACATAGTACCAACCACAGGGTTTTGTAAAACAACCAATAAAATACATACATTACAATAAAACACTCCCAGCAATTACACACAAACACTCCCCTCTGCCTGTGATATAATTACTGAACACAATGGGCTAAAGTAATTATCACAGGCAGGAAAAATATACTTTTTACACATACACTGTAACTTTAAAAATATACATTCAATCTTCATAAAAGATTAATAATCAGCATACTTTAATTACACATATATCCAAAATTCAGCCAATTCCTTCCAGTAGATAAAAGTTAGCTGGAAGTCCTTTATGACCGACCACAAGCACATTTTCATGCCCAAAACAGTTCCATAGAACGGGACTCAGTCTCTGCGGCTGCAAACTCAGTGTAGGAGAAGGTAAGGGTCAGCGGTGTTTGTGGAACTGTGTAGCCGATTTCAGTTCCATGAATTTGGCTACACACACCATTGACCGCATTCGGCTGAAAAAAGATGGCCGCCGCCACGTGTTCGTTTGCACGGCGGCTCCCCAGCGGTCGGCAATTTACCTATAGCAGGCTCCTGGCTTGGGAGATAAATTGCCCGCATGCTTCCACTTCTGGGTGGTCCGCCTGTGTGGTACTTGGTTCAGTAAGCCCCATTTACTGAACCAAGTGGGAAAAGGGCACAAACAAAGTATTTTAGAGGACAGGGGACACAGTCTTAAATGGGCATTGTTCCCAAAAGTCACAGTACGTCCCCAGATGGTTCTTAAAGGGCCAGCAGCAGCACGTTAAAAATTAATTATGCCCAAATACTGTATTTAAAGGGCCAAACCTCCCAAGGACCATAATCACATGGCAAGAGGCTGGCAAGTAGTCCTCTCCAGGCACAAGTGACAATGTTAATTTTGCCACAAGCACAAACAGCAATTTACACAAATACATCTCAATTCGCAAGTAGTACGTAAATCTTCCAGAAATATGAATCGGATCAATATTTTTTTTCTGGGCTCGTGGTCAAATATGAAAAAGCTGCATCAAATAATTAATTTCTTGTTAAATGCTATTATTTTTAAATAAAATTCAAATAGTTTTTTTTTTGCATTTGACTTGGCTTAAAAACACCACTGGTTAACACTAGTCTCTGTTTATTAACATAAGAGTTTTGCCTCATTGGAGTTTGCTTTGCAAATCTTTCAATTAATGTAGGTTTTTGTATAACTATCCAGCACAAATTGTTCAAAAAAGTACTTTTTTTTCCCCTTGGCATGAATTGCCCACATGCTATCTGCATGCTCTGCTCTGTAACTTCCCAAGGGAAGACCTTGACATTTATATTTGTAATGGTTTGCAAATCCTTGGCTGCAAAAGCTCTAGCAGGCTTCACGGTGCTCTACCAGCACTCTGTAGATGTTTTAACTTACACCAGAGGAGGACATGGCCTATTCCTCGATGTGGACAAGGAGGTGCTCCGACAGCTGAGGCCCTATATCAGCTTGTATAAAGTGATTTCCATGCACAACTGGGCTGCAAACAACACAGATGGCACAGCAAAAGTAAAGAAAGGTCCCGAATAGAGGAACAAAACAGCAGTCTTTACAACTTGA